TTATGTGGTGCTGAGGAATCGAACCCAGGGCCTCAGGCATGCAAGGCAAGCGCTCTACCACTGAGCCACCTTCCCAGCCCCTGAAGTCGAATCTTAAGTGGCAAAAATGGCCATATCCTACTATCCCTTTCCTCGCTTGGAAAATTTTACAAGAAAGTTCTTCCGCTTCATTTCCTCATCTGCTTCCCCATCCTATCACCCAGATGGCCGAGTGGCTGGCTGTGAATACTATCCATCCCAGGATCCTGCGGTACCGCTTAGGGCTCGGCTTAGCGCATGCGCACTTTCCGCGACGCGGCAAGATGGCTGCCGACCATTTTGTACTCTGTCGGTACTCGAGTCGGCGTCGGCAGCGGATGCATCCACTGGAACTAACAGGACCCTCTGAGCCAGTGGGCAACTGCTGGTGGTAATTTCTTGGCTCAGCTGTGTGAACTGGACCGCTCCCAGACCAGCGACACCTCTGGGAAGCAAAAAGCGGGCGAAACGTTGGAGCCCCACCCGCTAACTCCGCTAACCTGCTTGTACGCCCTCCCGCTCCCCGTTGAGGGTTTTTTTTGGGGGGGGGGTGGGGGTGGGGAGGATCTGCTGCGCAGGCGCATAAATAAAACGCAGTGCCTCCTGGGCCCTCGGGGCTAGCGGACTGCTGCGCGCGCTTCCCAGATCCTCCCGATTGGTCGAACGGCCCGCAATCACGCCTCCTCGGCTCCCAAGGTTGAGGAGGAAGCTGAGGGGCAGGGCTGGTCCACGCGTGCGCAGAATCCTGCTGCTCCTTTTCTATTGCGTTGCAAAAAAATCTTGCTTAGGTCGCCTTGGGCCTGTTCTGTGTTGGGGAATCTAAAAAGGCGAGGGAACGGTTCCTGCCACGGAAGGGGCAGTCGGGGGAGTGATAAAACTTTTTAAGGATATTCACGCCCGCCCTGGCTCCCGCGAGTTGAAGGCTTCGCGGGGGTGAGCAAAGGGCCTTCAGCGTTGAGAGCCGTGTAGAGTATCAAACCCATTTGTTTCGGCGCCAGTAGGTTTTGCAGGTCCTGGGTTGTGTGTGTGTGTGGTTTTTTTTTTAATTTTATTTTCTGCGCAGATTCTCTCCTGATTACTGACTGGTTTAAACACGACCCCTTCACCATACCGATACACCTCGGGAGCCCGCGCGGCGCCCCTCTTAGCACGTCCGTGCGCCCGCCCGCCCGCGCGGAGCCGCCGCCAGCGTGCCCGGCAGCTCGTCTTCCCGAGCGTGCCTCCGGCCGAGCCCGGCGCGCGCCCTGTCCCCACCCCCTGGCCTCCCTCCCCACCGGCGGCTTTCACGCACTCGCACTGATTGTTTTGCCCGCTCCCGCCGCCGCGGCCGCGGCCGCCAGAGGAGCCAGCAGCGCTTGTGCAAACCGGGAAGATGGCGGCCGGCGGTGGCGGAGGCAGCAGTAAGGCCTCCTCCTCGTCGGCCTCTTCGGCAGGGGCTCTGGAGTCCTCGTTGGATCGAAAATTCCAGTCGGTAACCAACACTATGGAATCCATTCAAGGCCTGTCGTCTTGGTGTATCGAGAACAAGAAACACCACAGTACTATCGTCTACCATTGGATGAAGTGGCTCCGGAGATGTGAGTGTGTGTGTGTGGGGAGGGGGGGGGAGGGGCGGCGGCGGTGTGGGGACTAGGAAGGGGAAACTGAGGAAATGTGGCCCGAAACGTTTGGAGAGGGCCGGGGGCGGGGGGGTTCCCTGACGGATCTCTGTGTTCGGTTGGCGTTGTTCACGTTACCCGAGTGGACCCAAACCCAGGCTCCATGCCTAGCCAGGCTTATTCCCAACTGCAGGGAGCTCATTTCTTGGTTGTTTTTTTTTTTTAAGCCATTGACTTGGTGTGACCTTGGGCCGTTGGGCCCAGATCCATAGAGCTTTACGGATTTTTTTTTTCCCCGAGCTTTGTAAGGTTGTGTTGTTGATTTTAATGAATCTCCAAGGAAATGGTCGCGTCCGTTTATTTCTTACAGGCCTTGACGTGTTAATGATGTCTGGTTTTTCTGATGGTAGATGAGCCGGAATATGTTGGGTCAGTTTGTGGCTTATTTTTTCCCTGATCTGAAACTTGTGATAATATAATATAACGAGGGTTTATGTGGCTGAATGTCCCTAAAAGTTGTGATGTGTTATTAAAGAGAGACTTAGCTGGATATGAGGTGTGCGTGGAATCGGAGGTGACCACTTGCTTTCTCTTTACCTGTGTTTACTACAGTAAAATAGAGGTGTTGATACTAGACATGACTGCAGTAGTGTAGTATCATGATCAGTACCTTAAAGTGTAAAACGTATGGTTTAGTCCCCTGTAGACACATTTTACAGAACTGAGTTTGAGTTAATAGTTTCTTGTGTTTTTATCTATCTATCTATCTATCTATCTATCTATCTATCTATCTATCTATCTATCTATCTATCTATCTGTTTTTTGTCTTTATCCTGTGTTCCTCCTCCCTGTCAGCCTCCCCTCCCCTTTGCTGCTTTATATATAGATAAGAAATTCGCTAAAGTATGGTAGTTTGCAAAAGATGTCAAATGGCCGGCCCGGGTGGCTCACATCTGTAATCCTAGCTACTCAGGAGGCTGGGATCAGAGGATGGAGGTTCAAAGTCAGCCTCAGCAGGAAAGTCTGTGAGACTGTTATCTCCAATAAACCACCAGAAAACCGGAAATGGCGCTGTTATTCAAGTGGTAGAGTGCTAGCCTTGAGCTGAAGAGCTGAGGGACAGTGTCCAGGCCTAGAGTTCAAGCCCCATGACCGACAAAAGAAAAACAAAAAAGATGTGAAGTCTAGGAGGAAACATGGAGAAGTCACTGTTGCTTCCTGCTGAGAAGATTCCATGTGTATTCCCTAACTCCATATATATTATTTGTTTTAGTTTGCTTCCTGTCTGTGACATGTCATTAGAAAGATCCATCATCTAGTTATTTCTAGGAAACAGATGGATTAAACTTGCAAAATGATAGGCCCAAATCTTAAAACCATTTGTGTTTAAAGTTAACCTTTGGAGAGTAATACTTTGGATCGTTGATTCCTAATGCTAAGAAATAATAAAAAAGACAAGATTAGGTTATCTGTATTTGCCAGTAAGAGCTCTAATAGTTACTTTCTTACCAAGAGGTAAAATTTGAACTTGTAATATCAAATATGCTAACGGTCATCATCAGACTCTTACATATCATATATCTGTGATGAGCCCAGCCATTACATTATCATAATCTACTGAAAAGTAGAGTTTTAAATCACTGATTAACATTTGGAAACTAGTGCTTAAAAAAGACAAGTTGCTAAAGGTAACATAGTAAAATGGTGGGGGAAGGGGGATGGTGGCCTGGCTGAAGTGATAGAGCAGCTGCTTAGCCCTGAGTCAAAGAAATCCCAGTGTCACGATAAAACAAGGTATAGGTAGGATTTGACTTCATCATTAATTTTGTAAGTAATATTGAATGTATACCAGTGGTAGTAAGTAGAGCTAATGTGAGTATAAAAACATATTCTTCATCCTGTTTAAAAAACATTTTTACCAAATTATACAAGCAGTTTACAATCTCTACCTTTGCACTTGGGTGTTTTAACTCTGTCATTACATAATTTGCAAGAATAAGTTGGTCTCCATATCCTTGCCTACTCATAAGTAACAACCATATATTTTTTTTCCACTCAGCCAGAATTTTTATGCCTCTCTTTAGTCAATATATGAAGGTGGTAATATTCCATTAGAAGCTCTTTTTTTTTTTTTAAGCGTTACTGGGGTATAAATATAAAATAAGGCCTTACTTGCTAGTCTGCAATTCTACTACTGGGCCACACCCCCAAATCATTGAAATACATTCTTTTTTTTTTTCTTTTTTTGAACCCAGGGCCTCAGGCATGCAAAGGAAGCGCTCTACCACTGAGCCACCTTCCCAGCCCTGAAATACATTCTATATAGTTTATATAGTTAAGTGCTTTTGGCTTTGTAAAACCTGACACCATTTTCCTTGAGGGATGAAATTAAACTTTTGTCATCTAAGGGTAATTTCATTTACATTCAGTGAACACTTGGGGTAAAGTGTCTTGAGAAATACCTAGCTGAATGGTGAAGATAGAATAATAGCTCATAGGGGCTGGGAAGGTGGCTCAGTGGTAGAGCACTTGCCTTGCATGCCTGAGGCCTTGGGTTCGATTCCTCAGCATCACATAAGCAAAAAAAGAAAAAAGCCGGAAGTGACGCTGTGGCTCAAGTGGTAGAGTGCTAGCCCTGAGCGGAAGAGCTGAGGGATAGCGCCCAGACCCAGAGTTCAGGCCTCACGACCGGACCCAAAAAAAAGAAAAAAGCCAGAAGTGGCGCTGTGGCTCAAGTGGTAGAGCACTAGCCTTGAGCTGAAGAACTGAGGGACAAGCGCGCAGGCCCAGAGTTCAGACCCCATGACTGGACCCCCCCCCAAAAAAAACTCATATATTAGGTTCCTTTTAATTTTATATTTGTATATGATTAGACTTGGTTTGAATTCAGTTGCTGAGTCTGCTTTAGTTAAAACTGAAGCAGATGTCTTTGACATTACTAACTAGTCTTTCTGTCCATTTATTTTTCTGATTTTGGTTCTTACATTCATTTAGTAATTTAGATCTCTATAAATTTAACTAACTGTAGTGGCTATTCTTTTTCTTTCTTTCTTTCTTTCTTTTTGGTCGGTTGTGGGGCCTGAACTCCGTCTGGGCGCTGTCCCTCAGCTCTTCAGCTCAAAGCTAGCGCTCTATCACTTGAGCCACAGCGCCACTTCTGGATTTTTCTTTTTATTCGGTACTGAGGAATCGAACCCAGGGCCTCATGCATACAAGGCAACAACTCTACCATTAAGCTACCTTCATAGCCCTGTGTCTATTCTTTTATCAGATGTTGTCTCGGTTGTTTTTTGTTTGTTTGTTTTCTTATTTATCTGTCTGCCCACATGCTTCCTAAGTATTCTCTACTGCTGAGCTGTATTCTTAGTCCTCAGATTTTTTTCATTTTATCATTCAATTTCATAATTGCAATAAAAGGCTTATTCATAGTAAATAATGGAAATGGGTTATAGTTAGTTTATTCAGACTTCTTTTAATTTGCTTGAGTATTCATTATATTTTGAATTTTTTATTAGCTTCTATTGTGCAAAGGGATTTCATTTTCACATATCCATATATGTATACAACCTTGATCAAGTTCACTCTCTGTCACTCTCCCTCATCACTCTCCCCTTGATTACTATTGCTTTTTAAAATGATCTTTCTGTAATATAAACATATCATTTCTTTGCTTTATATCTGATGATACAGTGTTGCAACAGGGTTAATTTGTGAACTTCTTTTACTATGGTTTACAAAAGCATATGTCATCTGCTTTGCCTGTCTCTCAGACTTTTTAAAGATCCTGTTGCCTTCTCATCTTTTTTTTTTTTTTTTTTGCCAGTCCTGAGGCTTGAACTCAGGGTCTGGGCACTGTCCCTCAGTTTCTTTTGCTGAAGGCTAGTCCTCTACCACTTGAGCCACAGTGCCACTTCTGGGGTTTACTGTGTGTGGTATTGAGGAATCCCCCAGGGCTTCATGCATGGTAGGCAAGCACTCTACCACTAAGCACATTCCCAGTCCTCATCATTTATTTTTATTGATTTATTTTTTATTTTTTTGCTGGTCCTGGGGCTTGAACTATTGGTGTGGGCACTGTCCCTGAGCCTCTTTGTGCTCAGGCTGTCAGTCTACCACTTGAGCCACAGTGTTACTTCTGGCTTTTTCTGAGTAGTTTATTAGCGAAAAGAATGTCTCGTACTTTTCTGTCCAGGTTGGCTTTGAACCATGATCCTCAGCTCTGAACCTCCTCTATAGCTAGGATTATAGGCATGAGCCACTGGCACCTGGCTCTTCTCATCATTTAGATGTAAGCTCAGATATTGCTCCCTCAGAAGGGCTTCCCTCATTACCTTCCAGGCTGTATAATCTTTTTTTTTTTTTTTTGCTGGACGTGGGGCCTGAACTCTGGGCCTGGGCTCTGTCCCTCAGCTCTTCAGCTCAAGGCTAGCGCTCTACCACTTGAGCCACAGTGCCACTTCCAGCTTTTTCTGCTTATGTGGTGCTGAGGAATCGAACCCAGGGCCTCATGCATGCAAGGCAAGCACTCTGCCACTGAGCCACCTTCCCAGCCCAAGGCTGTATAATCTTATTTTCATTATGTAAAATTACTTTATTTGCTACATCTTTATTTGATAACGGCTATGTTTTGTTTGCTGTTGTATCCCCAAGCAACTAGAACGGCACTTGTGATATAACAAGCTATTAGTAAATATTTGCCAACACAATGTTGTGAAATAGTTAATCAAAAACCTTAAAAGCCTAGCCCCGGTGGCTCACGCCTGTAATCCTAGCTACTCAGCAGGCTGAGATCTGAGGATCTCTGTTCAAAGCCAGCCTGGGCAGGAAAGTCTGTGAGACTCTTATCTCCAATAAATCACTAGAAAACCAGAAGTGGCACTGAAGCTCAAGCAGTAGAGCGTTCGCTTTGAGCTGAAGAGCTGAGGCACAGCTCACAGGCCCAGAGTTCAAGCCCCACAACCAACAAAAACAAAAAACCT